TTAAGGAAATTGAAGTGCCACCAACTACAACTCCAACAAGAGTAGATTTTTTTTAAAATATTTTTTATATATGATTTTTTTATTTTTATACCATTCACCACACTGTGATACATGTTATTATGTCTTTGTGCATATGTTTGTAACAGGCAAAAGGAAACGAGATAGACCCATGGTTCCTTTTGGGAATATGCATAGAATCAATTTCTGAGTCGATTTATGAATGTCCGTCCGTCCGTCTGTCGATGTTAAATTGTAAACAAAGTACTGGTCGCATTTATGATTCGATTTGGATGAAATTTGACACAAGTCACTTATTTGGCCCAAGATTTACATATAGCTCCCATATATAGTTTCGTCCGATTTAAGGTAAATGGTGCACCAAAGTCCCTACATATCGTTCGATTTGCACGAAATTTGGCACAGAGTACTAAATTAGGTCCAGAATGATGTGTGCCAAGTTTCGAGAAAATAGGTTCGATTTACATATGGCTCCCATATATAGTTTCATCCGATTTAAGGTAAATGGTGCACCAAAGTCCCTACATATCATTTGATTTACACGAAATTTGGCACAGAGTACTAAATTAGGTCCAGAATGATGTGTGCCAAGTTTCGAGAAAATAGGTTCCGATTTACATATAGCTCTCATATATAGTTTCGTCCGATTCAAGGTAAATGGTACACAAAAGTCCCTACATATAATTTGATTTGCACGAAATTTGGCACAAAGTACTAAATTAGGTCCAGAATGATGTGTGCCAATTTTCTAGAAAATATGTTCCGATTTACATATAGCTCCCATATAGTTTCGTCCGATTTAAGGTAAATGGTGCTCCAAAGTCCCTGTATGTCTTTCGAATTGCACGAAATTTGGCAAAGAGTACTGAATTAGGTCTAGAATGATGTGTGCTAAGTTTCGAGAAAATTGGTCTAGATTTAAATATAGCTCCCATATATATTTTCGTCCGATTTAAGGTAAATGGGGCACCAAAGTCCCTATATATCTTTCGATTTGCACGAAATTTGGCATAGGGTACTGAATTGGGTCCAGAATGATGTGTGCTAAATTTCGTGAGAATCGGTCCAGATTTAGATATAGCCCCCATATATATTTTCGTCCGATTTAAGGTAAATTGTGCACCAAAGTCCCTGTATATTGGGTCCAGAATGATGTGTGCTAAGTTTCGTGAAAATCGGTCCAGATTTAGATATAGCTCCCATATATATTTTCGTCCGATTTAAGGTAAATGGGTCTCCAAAGTTCCTGTATATCTTTCGATTTGCACGAAATTTGGCATAGGGTACTGAATTGGGTCCAGAATGATGTGTGCTAAGTTTCGTGAAAATCGGTCCAGATTTAGATATAGCTCCCATATATATTTTAGTCCGATTTAAGGTAAATTGTGCACCAAACTCCCTGTATATCTTTCGATTTGCACGAAATTTGCCATAGGGTACTGAATTGGGTCCAGAATGATGTGTGCTAAGTTTCGTGAAAATCGGTTCAGATTTAGATATAGCTCCAATATATATTTTCGTCCGATTTAAGGTAAATGGGACACCAAAGTCCCTATATAACTTTCGATTTGCACGAAATAATTCATAGGGTAATGAATTGGGTCCAGAATGATGTGTGCTAAGTTTCTTGAAAATCGGTTCACATTTAGATATAGCTCCAATATATATTTTCGTCCGATTTAATGTAAATTGTGCACTAAGGAACCAAAGATTGGCCAACCCGCACACAATTTTGTACAATGTACTGAAGTTACTATAACCTTTCTGAAATTGGTTCAGATTTATATATACTTCCGTCCTATTTTAAGTAAATGGTGTGCTTGATTGATATTACATTTTAAACAGTTAAGCATAAAGTTTGCTTAAAGTCTATTTACAAAGTATGGAATAGATTGCAGAATGGCATGTGTAAGGATTGATGTTAGGTTCGTTCGAATTTTTAGGTTCGTTCAATTTCATGTCAATGTTCCTTCGAAAAGACTCTACATATGTAGAATATCCCCTATGTGGTGAAGGGTATCATATAGTCGGCCCAGTCCGACTTTACTACTTTCCTTACTGGGTTTTTTATATTGTTTCTATGCCCCATCAAGGCATATATTTACTATTTTTTAAATGTAATATTTATTAAAAAATAAATCGAAATCACCCATGGGCTTCGAACAATTAATTCACATGTTACAGATAACATTGATTTATTTTTTATTTTCTTTTTTTTCAATTCAAAGTAAATGTCTAATATGTATGTCTGAATGTACAAAATGTCACAGCGATAAGATACGACTGAGTTGAATACATGGGGGGCTGCATGTGCATCATGTTGGCATGTTTGTGACATTTCCTGCTGCAAGTTCGTTGACTTTCGTTTAGTTCGCTCATGTGTGCAATGGTGGTTCTATATTTCTACGAAGGAAGTATACCATGTATGTGTGTAGGGAAATATAATCTGAACGAAAATTAGATCAAGTTAAACAAAAATATTTCTTCCAAGGCTCAACAAAGCGTAGATATTAAAAAATCCAAAGCTCAACAAGGCGGATATTAAAAATTAAAAAAATACTTAAGCTCAACATGGCATATTTTTTATAATTTTTTTCTGCTTCGTATGCGGAAATGAAAAAACAAAAAAATAATAATAATAATAAAATAATATTTCATATGGAAGTCGTGAATACTGTATAATTTGTTGTACTATAGTTCTGAATTCCACCTATATTCCTACATCTAATATCAAGTTTATTGCCATTTAGTACCCTTCATACACATAAGCATTATTTTCCGAAAACTCTTTCTTATTTCCATTACACAGATTAAATTTGGTACCTTATTTCCATAAAAGTCTAAATTGTACCAAATTTAGTACTTTTCGTGCTCATAAGTACGAATTTCTAAATGTACTTCTTGTTTTCAAATAGTAATCTTATTTCCAAATTTAAGAATTCGAACTCTGTCTGTTCACGAAATTGTACCAGATCTGGTACAATTCTGTATTTTTTTCTACATTACCACAGTAACCTAAGTTGCATCTTTCAGGATTGGAGTTCTACCAGTTCACCAAAGTCCAAATTGTACCAAATTTGGTTATTTTCGTACCCGAATTACGAATTTCCAAACTTCAGTAATGCACTCCAAAAATAAACTTAAGTACACATTTAAAGATTCCAGCTCTATCTGTTCACCAACATCCAACTTGTACCAAATTTAGTACCAAGTATTACTTTTCGTACACGTAAGTACGAGTTTCTAAAACTTCTTCAATTCCACACTGCAACAGTAATTTTAATCATAAATTTCAGGATCATATTGAGTTCCATTTAGTACTTTTCGTACTTATGAGTTCGAATTTCCAACACTGTCTCAATTCTGTGCTATAACAGTAATTTTATTTTCAAATATAAGTTTTCCATCTCTATCCGTTAACTCGAATCAAAATTGTACCAAATTGTGTACCATTTAGCACACATAATGTCAATCTTACACTCAAATAGTAATTTTAATTCCAAAATTCTGGAGACAAGCTCTCTATTTGGTACAACTGGATTACGTGTGAACATCCAGTTGTACCAAATATAGTACACATAAGTACTATGCTTCCATATCTCAATTATATATTCAAACAGCAACCATTATTCCAAATTTTTAGGTTTCCATCTCTCTCAAATGCAAATTATACCAAACCTAGTGCCGTTTAGTACTCTTCGTACACATAAATACGAAATTCCAAAGATGTCTCTATAGCTCAATCTTCAACAGTAATCTTAATTCCAAATTTCAGGTTTTCAGCTCTATCATTTCAAGCAAAATACAAATTGTACTAAATTTAGTACCATATAATACCTTCCGTACCAATAAGTATGAATTTCCTAAACTACCTCATTCCTACACTCCAACAGTCATTTTAATTCCCAATTTGAAGACTCCAGCTCTATCGGTTCATCTAAATCCAACTTGCCCCAAATTTAGTACCATTTAGTACTTTTCGTACACATAAGTAAGATTTTTTAAAGCTAACTAAATCCTGTACTCCAATAGTACACCTAAATCCTATTTTCGGGATTCCATCTCAACTAAATGAAAATAGTACGAAGTTTAGTACCATTTTGTACTTTTTTGTACACATAAGTACGAATTTCTTAAACCATTTCCATATATCGACACCACTTCCCTTCCATATAAAATTCCAAGATTCTAGCTATATATGTTCAATACATATACAATTAGAACTAAATTTAGTAAAGTTTAGTACTTTTCGTACACTTCTAGGTCGAATGTCCAAAAAACCCCCTTTATTATATCTTTCTAACTTTCCATTGTTGACCCACAAATTTCAAAATTCTAGCTTTTCCCGTTCGCCTAATACAAGGAGTACAATATTTGGTACATTTTAGTACTTTTCGTACCCTTCTAGTTCGAATTTCCATAAACCCAGCCTTATCTAACGCCCACACACCAACAACAACCTTTTTATAATTTGTTTTTTTTCTGTGGCTCAACAAAGCATGAAAGGAATTAATTTTTAATTGGATGCTCCAGGTTTTTTTTCATTGCCTACTTAATATTTTTTAGGGCATTATTCTTCCAAAAATTCGCTTGATTTATTATTTCAATTTGTTTTTTTTTTCTTGCAGATACACTAATCGTCCATTTATTAACACATTAAAACGAACGAAGAACAAGCCCAAGAGATTCCATGTGGTGGGAGTCGCGGTTGTTATTGTTGTCGTCGTTAAACAACAAAAATGCCGGCCAAATGATTTTCTTCAACCAACGACGAACGCATTGAACATAAACAGCAACAGAAAATCCGGCAAATCAAAACAAGTAGAAAAAATAAAAATTGGAAAATACCAAAACCAGAAACAAACATTCCCTTATTGAGATTACAAATAATAATAATAACAACAACAAAGATTGCATTTAAATAAAACAAAACAAAAAACACCACTCGATCACACACACACCTCATATAAAGAAGAACAAAAATGTCGGGTGAAAGACGACGAAGTAGTATCGGTGGTAATATGATGCTAGTGCTGTTATCCCTTTTAGGGGTTTGCATCCTTTTCGGTAGCAGCGCGGAAGCCTTTGAAAATGGTTTAAAATTCAAACAAACCAAATACACAGAGTGGTCAAAGAATATCACATATCAGAGCAAGACCAGCTATAATGCCCGCGGCATGAAACCCCTCTATGAGATCAGCCACAAAGTAATGTGGTTTTTGATAGGCGGTGAAGATCCTATACCGGATGGTAAGTACAACACTGCACTTCTTGATCGAAATCACAAAAAGTAATATTTTATTTCCATCCATCTCTCTTTCAGGTTATTTTGAGTTGAAAGATGGTCAGGTGTTGAAGGGACCCAAAGCCGAACGCAATGAATGGGGCGATTTGGTTTTGCATTATTGGCCCATATTGTTGATTGTACTTTTGGTGGCCATATTGGTGGCCTCAATGCCCATTATAGGGTAAGTGGAAAAACACACAGAATATGAATAGGTTTGACTATGGGTGATTTAATTGTTTGTCTGTGGTTTTGTTTTGCTCTTTCAGTTTATGTTTTTGCTGTTGCCGTTGCGCTGGAGCCTGTGGTGGCCGCTCAGAACCATTTGACAAAAAACACGATACCTGTCGACGAGTTTTTCTTGGTTTCTTGTTAATATTGTTGGCGACGGGTATATTGTAAGTATTACAAATCAATATGATGTGTGACATTGTGTGTGTGTGTGTGTGTTTTTGGTGACCTTTCACCTTTTGTTATTCGCGTGGAATAGCAAAGGTCTTCTTTAAAAAGACCGTTTAATTAATTATGAATCAACATCTTAATTGTATTATAGGTTAAGACCTCGTTGTACTTGTAAATAAGGATGTTTTGATATTTTATGACGAGACCACTTGTGGTCCATAAATAGCACTATAGATCCTCTACAAGAAGCCAGATTGCTTGGTAACAGAAGTCCATTTGGTATTTTATAAGAAGCCCATTTATTGTTATATTTTGTCTTCCATAACAATTTCATACGAACTTCTATGACAAGCCTATATGGACTTATTTAGCTAGCTCATATTAATTTATATAAGAAGTCAATTTCATCTTCTATGTTAAGCCCATATGAAAATCATTAGGGACCCTTTTTAGTCTTCCAAACGAAGCACATGAGACTTACTTACTTAGCTAGCTTGCGACAGAACTTTCGTTCCATAAGCCGAGCTTAAAAAAGATTTTCAGGCGCGTCGGTTTTTTGCGCAGTTTTTCCAATTTGAAAGACCATATTCGGCAATGTTTTCTTTCACTTGAACTTTCCATCTTATTCGCGGTCTTCCCCTTCTGCGTGAACCATCAGCTGGTTCGCTTTTATATGCCTTCTGGGCTGGGGCATCTTCATACATTCTCACAACATGACCTACCCAACGTAGTCGCTGCAGTTCAATACGTCTAACAATGGTACATGGTTCATTCGACGGCGATATTCACCGTCAACACAGATCGGCCCATGGATCTTTCGGAGAATTTTTCTCTTAAACACTGCAAGAGCTGCCTCATCTGCTTGCACAAGTACCCATGCTTCAGATCCATATAACAGCACGAGTAGTATCATTGTCTTGTAGAGTGTGAGCTTGGTCTGGCGGGAGGTGGCCTTGCTTTTGAGTTGTTTGCTCAGACCCTAGTAGCATCTGTTTGCCATCACTATCCTTCAGAACTGATGTTATCCATTTTGTTTATGGCGGTACCAAGATATATAAAATATTTAATACCTCGAAGCTGTAGTTCTAAAGTTCCACAGTTGGTCCGAGTCTACTGGACGTCTTGCGCGTTGATACCATCAGCTTGGTCTTCTCGCCGTTTACCGGCAGACCCACTTTGGCAGACTGCTTCTCGATTTGTTCAAAGGTGGCTGTTCCCGCTTTCACTGTTCGACCCATTATGTCGATGTCATCGGCGTAGGCGAGTAAAATGTATTATTTGGTGTACAGAGTGTCATATCTCTTCACTTTTGTCTCTCGTATGACCTTTTCCAACAGAATGTTAAAAAGGTTCGGTATTAAAGGGGGGCTACATACCTTGCAAAAGGGCATTTGCAAGGTATGTAGCCGCATTGGTATGAACCAATAATGTCATTGACCATTGGCTTCAGTCGTTCACTCAGTACTCTGGATAGCACTTTATATGCAATGGGAAGGAGACTTATTTCTCTATAGTTGGCACATACCGACTTGTCTCCTTCTTTGTGCACGGCACGCAGGATGCTGAGGTTCCAATCATTGGGCATGCATTCTTCTAGCCAAATTGTACTAATCAGCTGGTGCATGCTCCTTACCAGCATCTGACCACCAATCTTGAATAGTTCGGCTTGTAACCAATCGGCACCTGCTGCTTTATTATTTTTCAGCCGATTGACTGCTATTCTGACTTCATCTTAGCTAGGTAGTATACACTCTATACCGTCATCTATCTATTGGTTCTGGGATATCCTCTTCACCGATAATATTTGATACCAGAAGTTTTTCAAAATGCTCCTTTCATATCCTCAGCACGCTGTCACCAGGTTTCCTTCTTCATCTCTACATGAGAACGTCTTTAAAAAGCCCCCCCAATGGAGTTTTATAAGAAGCCCATTAGTTCTTCAATAAGAACATGGCTTATTAATATTTTTTGCAATACCCACCAAAACGTAGATTTTTTAAAAATATATTTTTGAACGAAAATAGGCTTAGATTTTTTAAATATATTTTTTCAAAGGCCTATGAAGGCGTCCATTTATTTCAAAGGACCATTATTTTTTTAAAGGATAATATTATAAAAATAGGCGTAGTTGTTTTTTAAAATATTCCTTTTTTTCAACAACTAAGTTCGAACTGCCTCTTCTGTACGAGACTCTTCTGCCTCGTCTATAAAAAGGCCCTCTAGATGTTTCATTCATTATTGAAAAATACCTGTAATTCTTCTATTATCAAATAATTGTGTTGCTCCTGTGAATAGAAGACATTGGATATTCTATGAGGATATATTCGGGTCTTCTATGAGGAGACATTTGGTTCTTCTATAAGAAATCCTTAAACCTAGTCTTTACAAGATGTTTTCTATAAGAAGACCTTAGCGGTTTCTAGGGAAGTTTTTTTTGGCATCGCACTTCTATCAAAGGTCCCTTTGGGTCTTTTATGAAAATCTCTTCTGGCCCTTCTACGAGTAGCTCTTTTGAACTTCTATGGAAATGCCCTGGAAATTCTACCACTTCTATAAGAAATCCTTTAATTCTTCTTTACGAAGCCATTCTGGCCATTTTCTATGAAAATACCAACTCAACCAAATATCTTGTGGCCCTTCTACGAATGCCTCTTTTGAACTACTTTGGAAGTGCTATGAACATTCTACCACTTCTATAATGAATCCTTCTAACTCTTCTATACGAAGCCATTCTGGCCATTTTCTATGAAAATACCAACTGGTTTTATTATGCGAAGACCCTCATCCTTTATTTTTAGTATTGACATGTGGTCTCTTGTGAAGAAATCGTCAGGTCTTCTATGAGTCAATATTCTGTACCTTTATTAAAAGCCCTGCTTTCCTATATTAGATGACATTTTGTCTTCTTCTTTGGGGACCTAATCATCTATAAAAATAATATTTTTTAAAATTCCATCAAAATTTCTAATGTACAGAATTGTTTATGATTCCTCCATGTTCTCCTAAAAAGGTCACATCATTGACCTTTTAAAATAAATGAATATATCCTGTATATACCCCCTGTAATCATAAAATAAAAACTATGTTTTGTTCATAACCTCAACTTTATATATTGTCTAGAAAAAAGTCTGTTCTTGACACACCATTAACATTGCAATTTGTCTTCTCTTCTCCTCTTTCCCCTCATAGATTTGGTGTTATTGTTGCATTTGCCACCAACAGCTACATGCAATTTGGCATTGATGATGGCACTACAGCTGTACGGGCCGGCAGTAAGGATACACAAAAATTCTTGTCCGTAACATCGGAACAATTGGAATATGTTTTGGTGAATAATTACAAACAGTTGTCGGATCATTTGGAAGATATACTAAGAAGTGCGTATGAAGAAGTGAATATTAAAATAATTTATTTATATAATGTAAATGTGTGCGTGTGTGTCTCATTTTTCAGCCACTTCCGATTATATTATAACAAATCTGGAACAACAATCCAAGGCCATTTCCGTTAGTCGCCTAACAGAGTTCTTAGAGAAATTACCAAGTTTGAAAAATAAATTACAACAAATGAAAACAATAACAAATGATTTGAGAGTCTATGCATCGCAGTTAAGTGATGGTAAGTTGGAAGTTTATTTATTGGTAAGATTTATTTTGTATGTTAATATGTTTTCTCGTTTCTCTTCTAGGTTTACGTGGTGTCAAACGTGATTTGTTGGTCATGTTAAACAAATGTTCCGATCAATCGTGCAAAGATGTTTTGAACCGCTATGAAATTGGAAAGTTAGATGCAAATGGCATCCATTATGATCAGGTAAATATATGTAGTAATGTTTTGATATGGAATTTATTAAGCGGAATATTGAGTGTAAAAATTTAATACTAAAATTATAAATACCATTCAGAGTCGGTTGAACAAAATCTTTTGGGTCGAATTATATTTTCAAGTGTTATTTTTTTATTTGTCATATATATTACCCCAGAAATTTTTAAATAATATATGAAACGGAACATGTTTTTTTAACATCTGCCTTCAGTTCTTCTATAAGCATTTTGTTGTGCTCTTTGATATTTGTTTGATTGTCTCCCATTTGGCCTTCTATATGACGACATTCTACATCTTCTATAAGAAGAATTTCTATTCATCTTTGGGTAATTTAATATTTTTATTATTATTTAAAAAGACCCGCTGCCTTTTCCACGAGAATTCATGCGAATTCTATGAAAAGCTTACTGAACATTATGGCTCTACTATAAGAAGCACTTATAAATATTATTTGAATCTTCTGTGAAAACTCTCATTGTGTTTCTGTAAGAAGACGTTATAGATATTCTATGAGAAGCCATTCTTTAGTTTTTTTATGCAAAACCATTATGGACTTTCTGGTTTCTACATGATGAGCCTTCTTAAATCTTCCTTGAGAAATCATTCGAGCTACACTTCTATAAAAAAGGTTGGCTATTCTTTTAAACATTTCAGTTATTCTATGGAAACCCATTTGTAGCCCTTATTTTGTAAAGATACCTTTTTCTGCGAGAGAAATGTTTCTATAAGACTCCTATTAAAATGAGGCATTCAGAATTTTCTCTGCAAATCGATTATAGATTTTCATGAGAAGCTATGTAAAAAACTCCTGTATCCCTTCTATATGAAGGCCTCGTGTCCCTTCTATGGGAACTCGTTAAGTGTCTTCTGTAAGAAGCTCTATAAGGATATATATGAAAAACGCTTCGAAATATTATTTGTGAAGTCTTTCCGTCTAGTCTATTTAAATACCTATTGGACTTTCTATTAATACATTTTTTGTTCTTCTATGAAAAGCCCTTGGACTCTTCTATTTTTGGGGAAGTCCTTCTGTTTTTTTTTTTCAATGGGGAAAACGTCTTGGATAAAACTCTATAGGGTTTGATATGGGAATTCCTCCCAATCCCTCTTAAATCCTGTTTGAACAGATTTTCATGAGAAACTATTTAAAAAAACACCCTGTGGCCCTTCTATAAGAACGCCTCCTGCCCTTTTAAGTGTCTTCTGTGAGGATATACATGAAACCCTTGAAATATTATTTGTGATTGATGATACCCTTCGAAATATTATTTGTGAAGTCTTTCCGTCTCGTCTCTTTAAATACCTATTGGATTTTCTAAGAATATTTTTTTTGTTCTTCTATGAAAAACTCTTGGAATCTTCTATGAGATTCCATTTTGGACGTCTTTAAAAGTAAGATCTAAAAGGGAAACAGCTTTCTTCAGATCCTCCATGAAAATAACTTTTTGCTTTCTGTTTTTTTTTTTTCAATTGGAAAACCTCTTGGAGAAAACTCTCTAGGGTTTCATATGGGAATTCCTCCCAATCTCTCCTAAATTCTCTTTGAGCAGCCCTACTGGGAACTTCTATGGATCTTCTATGAAAACTTCTTTGGTTCTTCTGTGAGAATCTCTTTTGAACATCTATAAAAGGATGACCTTCTAAAAGGGAAATTTTTTTAAACCCGTGTTCTTGGTATTTTAATGAAAATACTTTTGAATGAGATTCTTCAATTTTTTCTCTTCAGGGTATTTTTTTAAGTCCTCATGTCTTTCTATGGGATGTCCTTTAGACTCATGTTCGTGGTAATTTAACGACAATCCTTTATAATGAGGTTCTTAAATTTTTTCTCTTCTGGGTTTATTTTAAAGTCCTCATGCCTTTCTATGGGAAGTCCATAGAAAAAAGTCCTATTGGATATTAAATGAATTTTTTTTTGCTAACCCTTATGGCTCCTCTATGATAAGATCATCTGGCTGCTTTCTAATATTCAGACTCCTCTATTTAACCCCTTCTGACTCCTCTATTCAACCCTTTCTGAGACTTCTATTGAAAAAAACCTTAGGCAGTTCTGTGATAATCTCATCTCGTCGTCTAAAAAATGAAAACCTTCTGAAAAGAAAATATTTTGCCTTATCGTTTTTTAATGCAAATATCTTTTTGAGAAGAGTCAGAAATCTCCTTTGTTAAAAACTTTTGTACTTTTTATTTGTTTTTTATTTTTTATGTCAAACTTTGCCATCGTTTCTTTAAAAACGAACTAGTTTATAATTTGTTAAAGGTTGTGTTCAACCATAACCTTAAATAATTTTTAAAGAAAAAAATGTTCCTTATATTTTTTGTGGAAATTCTTGACTACATTTTTTTGTAATAAAATAATAAAACTATTTTTAACTAACCAAAACTTAAAAATATTTTAATGCTTACTCTTAAAAATAAAAATAAGATGGTGGATCGTTATTTCCCCAAGGTAGGTATATAACTAACCTTAAAATGCAAAAATAAACTTCACACAAAAAATAAAAACACAAAAAAATATCGTTAATGCCCCTCATGCATATTAATTCCCATTTCCTTATTATCTTCTTCTTTTTTTCTCCCACACAGCTTCCCGATGTCAGCATTATCATTGATAATTTGGATCAGTTAATAAACGATAATATTGCCTCGGCTGGTGAAAAGGGTAGCAATGCCCTAAAACAAATGCGTTCCCATCTCAATAATACCATTGCCAGTTATACACCACAAATTATTGAATCTATCAACAAGGCGGGTGGGTATCCCTAATGAAATATTTTTATTTAAAATTTTATTAATTCTGGAATTTTTCATATTTTATATATTCTATATAACAGGCGAAGGCCTCCAAAAGGTTTCCAATGACATTAAAACCGAATTGGATAAGGTTTCCAAAATCATCGATACAAATACAAATAAATATACAAATATAGCTGATAATTATTTAGTTGAATATGGACCATATCGTTTTTATGTGGGCATTGCCGTATGCTCCATTTTGTTGTTGGTAAGTATTTTTTTTCTTTTTGTAAAATTAAATTTGAATCGGAAATATTAATCACTTTGTTTCTATGTTTCTTTTATAGGTATTGGTTTGCTTGGTGGCAGCTTTGTTATGCGGCATCTGTGGCAAACGTCCCGATGGTTATGGTGATGATTGTTGTAATAAGGGCTCTGGTTCCAGATTCCTGATGTTGTAAGTTGAGCGATTTTTTCCTTCGGAATTGTATTTAATTGTATAGAAACACGAATAGAGTCTTAAGAAAGACAAATAGGTCTTTATAGAACCATAGATCTTTGTAAAGGCCTATTGGTCGGTATGTTGCCTCTAGGTCTTTATTAAGGCCAATTGGTATGTATGGGGGCCTTTGGCGTTTATAAAAACCAATTGGTCTGTAGAGAACAGTCCTGTCGTCTCTTTAAAAACCTGTGGGGCCTCTTAAAAAGTCCTCTAAGCTCTCAACAGACCATAGGTCGTTATAGAGACCAAAAATCTTCTCAAATGTCAATTGGTCTTTGAAGAGACCATAGATCTTTACGAATTTCAGTAGAAAATACTATTTGGCCATGAAAACTTCATATCTATAATTCAAATAACCTCACATTCACGGCCTATAAATATAGAATAGAATTTCAATCTTTGCATTTTGGCATTTTAAAAAAATCCAATCTCCAATAAATCTACTTTTTTGACTTAGAGGAAAAATGTCTCTTTGTCTTAAAGGACATTTGTCTTTAGAGAACCTTTAAAGGGTTCAATAGATCCTCTATCTGTTCAAAGTATTCTAAGTGATTTTCTAAATATAGTGTTCTTCTATGGATTCTCTATCTATGCTTAAGTCCTTAATATATAGATTAAGATCTCTAATATATCTACATCTATAGAAGGCCCGTATAAAATTTCTATCATATTAGGTAAGACCTCTAGGCAGTTCCTTTACATTTTGGCTTTCATTGAGGAACCTTTTTGACTTCTGAGAGAATATATTATTTTATACTCTTCTAGGTCTTCTCATTAGAAAGTATTATTGACTAATTCTTCATTTCTTCCCTCTCTTTCTATCTTTATTTTGCAGTGCTGTTGCTATTATATTTTTGACAATATCGGGTATAACCATAATAGCTTTAGTACATTTCTTAATTGGCATTGTGACCTATCGTGGTGTCTGTGTACCATTAAGGTAAGTAAAACTTTCTCGAACCAACAACAGACCTTCCATTTTAATCGCCTTTATTTTCTCTCTTTCAGAAATCCCCAAGACGATGCTGTATTTGCTGAATTTGATAATTTAATTGACTTGAACGAAGTCCTCTATCCATCGAAAATCAAGGGACAAGCTGCCTCCGGTTCTCTGCCACCATTCCACATCTCACATGTCATTGTGGCATGTCAAAAGAATCAAACAATTTACGAAGTTCTACACATTAACAACATGGTCGACATTAATGCGATTAAAGAATATCCTGCCGATTATAAAATTAATAAGACTCTTGACGATCTCGTCAATGGCATCGATTTTAACGATAGCAACGTTGATATCCTATCACCCGCCGATAAACAACGTATCCTTGAATTGGGACAGTCTGCCCTGAAAGACTTTGATTCCGATCAATTTGTACACAATCTAAACGACGATATAACGAAACATTCTCTAACCGAAATCGCCCAACAACTACGTGAAACTGCCAAAAAGATCACAAGTTCTGATATGAAAGATGTTCAGATTTCGTTGCGTAACCAGGCATTGCATTTAGAGACATACGAACAGAATTTGGTGATACCAATGAAAACCCAATCGGCTGAGTTGATAAAACTGGCCAAGGAGTTGGATAGTACATTGACCTATAAAGAACAGAAATTCCAACAATCAATACCGTTGTTGGTGACAGAAATTGAACAAGCTCAAACATTCATTCGCAAAGATGGTCGTAATTTTGTAAAGTCATCTGCGGAAACTTTCACTAATCATTTTGCTGGGGAAATCGATCGTTATTTGAATATGGTCGTCAATGCTGTGGAGAATAAGATTGGCATCTGCTATCCCATGGCGAATGTTTATGAAGCTGGTATTGTGGCGGCATGTAATAGTATTATTGATCCACTGGTGAGTGTGTGAATAAAAAATTAAAAAAAATGCAGGATGTTCTCTAGAGAGTGTTCAATGTGTAAAATACCTATATAAAAATATGTGATCGTCTATACATCATATTGGGGGCCTCTAATTGACCCGCTCTCTATTGAGAATACCCAAAGAGAATATCTAGTGGGCCCTTTATCTATAGCTGACCTCTAACCTAGCGTTCTCTATCTATGAAGAATATGTAAAGGGCCTCTAGAAGTCATCAATGATTCTACTGTTTTATTTATTATTCTATTATTTATTGAACTTGATTTTTATTATTATTATTTTTTTTTTCTTAATTCTAGAATGGTTTCTGGGCTGGCGTATTCTGGTGTGTCCTCTTGTTCTTGCCCACATTAATTGTGGCCGTTAAATTATCTAGTTTGTATCAAAAATCCGATCCCTATCCAGGCCCCTTGGTTGAATCGTAAGTATCAAATTTTCCACTACCCACAAAAATTTAAAATTTTTCCTTTTTCCCCCAAAAAAAAGTAGAAGAAACATTTTCCATATCTTAAAAAAATACAAAAAATTAATTTTGTGATATAATTTTAAAACAACAACAAAAACAAAGTTATCCTCTATCCACCAGCTTAGTTATTAGAATTGAGAATGATTTAAAAAACAATAAAAAAGTTGAAGCTTGTTTTGTGTTGGCATCAGTTAATCATTATTTTGTAGTCGTTTTCCCCTGCTTCTTTCCTTTCTTTCCCTTCTTTATTTGTTTATTGTTATTATTATTATTATGCGTATAAATCTATTAACCTTTATTTTCAAATTGTGTTTGTTTTTATTGTTACATCGTCATGTGATACATTTCGTTAAAAAAAAAAAAAAACAAAAAAATTAAATATCCTCCATCCTCACTCACATACACACAATCTTTTTAAATGGACGACCACGACTTTAACACAGGGAGTATTTATATGATGCATACAGTGAACGTGATCACATTCCATTATCAAAGTAAGTTAATTGCATTTATTTATTTGAATATGTTATGGAATTACATGTACATATCACAACACATTCATACACAATTGGTTTTGAGGCTTTTTGAGGAGAAGAGAACAAATAATATCCCATAAAATGACTAGAAAAGCTAGAGAGACTCCATAGAATCTACATAACGTATTTTATCTAAATGAGGGCTACAAGCGGCCATCTAAAGCAGGCCTAAACTAAATATTTACAGAAAACATCTCTGGATAAGAAGATTTTACAGTAAATTTTTGATACCACCTATTAATCGAAAAAATCGTGTTATTGTTCCAATTGCCCTCTCTTTGGTTTTATATTCTATGTATTTATTTTGGCGCCCAATGTGAGGTCCCATTTTATTTATTTCAAAATGTTTCTCTATTTGCCATGTTTTTTTGGATATATTCCAATGAAAATTGTATTTAAAAAAATCTCTATTCGCCATATTTTTAGGATATATTCCAATGAAAATTTATCTACCTTTGTTAGTTTTCGTCTATTCTAGACTTCATATTTTATTTTGGCACCCAACATTTATTTCAAACAACTTCTCTATTCGCCATTAGGATATATTCCAATGAAAATTGGTTAGCAATAACGTAAAAAGCTACCTTTGTTACCTTCCGTCTACTGTAGATTTCACATATTAATTTGGCGCCCAACGTGTCGGGGCGTAATTTATTTTTATGAAACCCATAATTTTGAAATATTTTGTGAATATATATTAAAAATATTACTTCGTAGTAGTATTTCAAATTACATCTTTTAGGTTTCGTTCCCTTGTCTATTACAATGGACTTTATATTTTATGTTGGCGCCCAACGTGGGGTCCATTTTTAATTATTCATTAATCCCTCCTATTCGCTATATTATTTAGGGATAAATGCCAAAGAAAATCTAATCGCAACAGTTTTAGAATCTACCTTCATTACTTTTCGTCTACTATGGACACCATATTTTTTTGGCGCCCAAATTGGTTTCTTTACATTTCCTTTAATAAAACTACCTATTTACCACATTTTTCAAACATATAACAAAGAGAATTTCTTTCGCAACAGAGTTTGGAAAATTTCCTGTTAGTTTTTTCCCCTTATAATGGAGTTCATTTTTTGGCGCCCAACATGGGTCTTATTTAATTTCTTTTAATAAAACCACACTTTAGCTATTTTTTAGTATATAAGCAAGCAAATCTCATGGAACCAGCCTCTAAAATATTCCTTTGTTAGTTTGGACTTTATATTTTATGTTGGCGCCCAACGTGGGTCCAATTTCATTTAATCAATAATCCCCCTATTCGCCATATTATTTTCAGATATATGCCAAAAATCTAATCGCAACAGTTTTAGAATCTACCTTCATTACTTTTCGTCTACTATGGGCGCCATATTTTGTTGGCGCCCAAATTGGTTCCTTTTAAGTTTATTTTAATAAAACTGCCTGTTTACCATATTTTTCAAATATATAACAAAGGAAATCCCTTTCGCGCCAGTGTTTGGAAATTTTCCTATTAGTTTTCCCCTTACTATGGACTTCATTTTTTTGGCGCCCAACTTGGGTCTTTTTTATTAGGTGGTTTTTATAAAACACTCCTTAGCTTTTTTAGTATATACAAACAAGTAAAACTCGTCGTAAAAGTTTTTAAAATATTTCTTTGTTAGTTTTCGTCGGCTGTGAACGTCATATTTTATTTTGGCACCCAACGTAGGATCTTTTTTTTCTGTAAAATTTTACTAAACGTTAACATTTTTTGGATCTATATGTTAAAGAATATACCTTTACAATAGTAAGTTCTCCTTGCCTTATCTATTACAATGGAGTTCAATAATTATTTTTGGCGCCCAACGTGCTTTCTTTTTTTAATAAAACCTTTCAATTTACATTAATATAAGAATATTTATTATTGTTAAAATAATATAAACCTTTAACGCATTAGTGCGTTCATATTTCATATTCCCATCTTATTTTGGCGCCCAACATGAGGTTCCATTTTAATTTAATATTCTGCTGTAAAGTTTCTCCCAACTAAAAAAAACCTCAAAACCAAATATCATCAAAATATACCACCTGCACTTAGTTAAGTAGAATACAAAAATTGTATCTTCATGCTCAATCGTGCTCTCGCTCTCTATCTATCTCTATTGAAGATGTGAGTAGTAGAAATTTGTTAATTAATTGGCATTTTTGAAATTGGAATTTATTTTTGAGTTTTGCAAAATTATAATTATCTAAATTATATCGAAAAATAAAAACAAAAATTATATTTAAGGAGAAATCAGAACTGCCTGGTGCAGAGTAATTATGACAAGATATCTTTAAGAAAAAATGTTGAATTGAACAACTTAAAAAAATAAATTGAATATAAAGAAAATATAAAGGCTATGTTAATGAAATTCTTAAAAAATATATTAATTTTACAAAAATGTTTAATTTAAAACATTTTTTTTTAATTCATAAAAATATATTTTAAAATTACATTTATATAAATTACACTTTGTAATTTATATAATATATATAAACTGTTCTATTTTAAGAGTTTAAAAAATCCGTTTTAATTTTTTTTTTAATTCATAACTTTTTCTAAAATCAAAAAAGATAACACCACAACAAATATATTTGAAAAAAAATTAGTTCACCTAGGAAATTAATAATATTCTAAAGATATTTTTTAAATTAAAAACGTTTATAATTTCGAATTAAAATATGTATAAATATAAAATAATTCTAAATTAATCCTGTTAGTGCCCAAACAGTCCTGATTTCTCCAAAACTAAAAAAACTATCACTTTGAAAAAATCTTAATCTCTAACTTCTTTCGCTCTTTCTCTCTCTCTCACTCACTATATCCAAATATCATTCATTCTGAATACAACAACAACTGAAAAATCAATAAATATTTCTATATATCATTACATAAATATATTTATTTTTATTGTGATTTTTTTCATTTTTTTTGTGTTTTTTTATTATTCTTGTCCTTCTACTTATTATCATCATTTGTATATGGGATGTGTGCGTATGTGTCTCTCTGTGTGTGTGTGTCTCTCGCTCTCTCTCTCTCTTATATCAAAAACAACACATCTAGTGGTCCAAAAAATAAACGACGCAAGAACAAAGATCGCCGACGTCGTGATTATTACGAAGATCCAATAGTTTCAACATCGCATGGAATACCACCAGCTGGAGCTGGGGTACGTGATACACGCTACAGTGATATGGCGCCTAAGTAAGTTTTGCATTTGTTGTTGTTATTTTCATTTTTTTTTTTATTATTTTGTTTATTTTCTCTCAATTCAAACTCATCAAAAAAATAAAACATTCTTCAACTAATATGGAATAATTTTATTTAAAAAAAAAAAAATCAAATTTGGCTAGAAGAACTTTAACTGTGGAATGTTTATTTTGGTTTATTAACAGCTTGATGCCATGGCTTTCGTTTTATAAAAAAATATTTATGGAAATTAGTATTAGAATTTCAAAACTTCTTCCTAAATCCCTTAAAAAACAAGTTCCTTTGTAACTAATCTTTTCCCTTTCTCTCCAGTTCCTTTTATATCTTTTGTTTTAACATAATTTTAAGAAATTAATATTAAATTTTGTAAACCTAGTTATAATTGTTGTTTTTTTTATTATTATTTCTTGGAATTTTTTTTAACCCATTTGTTTTTGGTTTCTCTGAATATTTAGAAGTATGGTTGGGGCTATTGATACAAGGCCAAAAGCACTGGCGGCGGATGGTTTCTTTTAGGTATTGATTGTTTTCAAACAAAATCGCTAAGAATCTACTCTAAAATTTAACATCAAGCGATGTTATGGCTGTCATCATTGTTATTAATGCTGTACACTTTCGCTCGCTCACTCACTCACCCACTCGCTTTCATAACTCATTTGACCGACCACGCTCACTAACATAACATGTTGTGTTTTTATGTGCCTGCCTCTATTTGACAAGGAGATGGAAGGTTCAATTTGGAGAAAATGTTTATAGAGGGATTTTTTAACATACATATAAACAAAAAATTAATTAATCTCTGTATTAAAAAAATTATATCGGTCTTCATATTAATCAATTGATCTGCATAAAGACCATAGGGGTTTATATTGACCAGTTGATCTATATAGAGATCATAGGTCTTTATATTGACCAATTGGTCTGCATAGAGACCATAGGTCTTTATATTGACCAAATGATGTACATAGAGACCATAGGTCTTTATATTGACCAATTGATTTGTATAGAGACAATAATCAATTGTTCTGTATAGAGACCATAGGTATTTATATTGACCAGTTGGTCTGTACAGAGACCATAGGTCTTTATATTGACCAATTGGTCTGTATAGAGGCCATAAGGCTTTATGTTAACCAATTGGTCTCAATAGAGACCATAGGTCTTTATATTGACCAGTTGGTCTGAACAGTGTCCATAGGGTTTATATTGACCAATCGGTCTGTATAGAGAACATATGTCTTTATATTGAGCAATTGGTCTGTATAGAGGCCATAGGTTTTTATATTGACCAATTGGTCTGTATAGAGACCATAGGGCTTTATGTTAACCAATTGATCTGTATAGAGGCCATAGGTTTTTATATTAACCAATTGGTCTGTATAGAGACCATAGGTATTTATATTGACCAGTTGGTCTGTACAGAGACCATAGGTATTTATATTAACCAATTGGTCTGTATAGAGACCATAGATCTTTATATTGACAAAATGGTCTGTACAGAGACCATAGGTTTTTATATTGACCAATTGGTCTGTATAGAGACCATAGGGGGATTTATGTTAAACAATTGGTCTGTATAGAGACCATAGGTCTTTATATTGACCAATTGGTCTATATAGAGACCATATGTCTTTATATTGACCAATTGGTCTGTATAGAGACCATAGGTTCGGTTGACCTATAATGAATTTTTATGTAGAATAATATCCGCATTGACACCATTCTCCTAAAAATAAAATTAAGAGACGATTTTTAGTTTTTTTGTTTTTAAAATAGTCAGGCTGAATCCCAGTTTGTTGTTTTTATAAAAAAAACAACTATTTATTAATGGGGAATGTATGGCATTGTGTGCAGAGGCGTAAGGCAGGGAAGACTATAGTTTCGGATCACGCCAATGATCCTCATCAGTTCCCTTAATTTTTTGTTGGGATATTCTCCCCAGAAGCTATTGCTTCTATACAAAAAACCTTTCATACCCAAATGTCTCTTGTAACAAAGCGAAGTACTTAGCTGACCAACGACATAAACTGCATGAGAATTTCGCTGGAGCCTCACTTCGAGGTTAACAAGGCATTTACAAACAATACCATACCTTTCCCACTGTTGCATATTTTTAGCATAAATAAATTGAAAGAATGTATTAAAATAGCTTGAAATGGCTATAATTATGTTTCATTTTTTACCGATATGTATTTTATATATATATATAGTATATGTATGTATTTTATATGCACATTTCTTTTGTTTGGTGATCTATAGTGTATTTTTTTGTAGAATATTTTCTCCATTTGAACCTATCGATATAAAATATTTAATGAACCCCCCGACTACCTTCCATCTCAAAATCATTTGATCTGTGTCATTACAGCTTTTGTTTATAAATAACATACATATATATTCAATAACTTAGTTTATGTTCTTTGTTTATTTATTTATTTTCTTTTTTTGTTAATATTCGTTTACCAAATATTTCACCCATTCATGAAATTTAGCCACCATCTCATATTCATTACTTTTACTACGATTTTGATTTTCATTGGTTTTTCCCCCCAGACAACATATTATTTTTAAATTATTGTGAGTGTGGCAGCTTAACTGATATATTTCTCTCAACTCTAATACTTTTTATTATTTTTGACACTAGAGCACTCAAACAAATACTTGCATTTTTGTGCAGCTTCATGCAATGCTCGTGTTTTATTTCTTCTCGTAAAAAAAAACATGCCAGGGTCAATTTATTAAAGCCATAAACTTGTCATTAAACTTGAAAATTTTTTCAGCCCACTACACACACACATATGGTTATTTGTTTGTTAATAGAAACTGGTTTCAATCAAACATATCCATTTTAGGGGGGTATTAATTTGTCTACGTTTTGATTGAAGGCTTTATTAATTAGAAATAAGTTTTAGTTACTACTACCATCAAAATTATTTGAATTAAATTTAATATTAAGATAAGTAATATTTGTAAGTCGTTAAAAAAAATTATATTTTGTATATTTCTTGTGGGTATTGGCGTATATATATACATTTTTTTCTACTGCCTTCAACAAGATTGTAAGATATACCCAAATTGGAGCTGTCAATTGAAGGATATATACAATATCTACAGATTTAATTAATTCAGTAACCTATAGTGAATTTTAGTGTAGAATATTTCCCCCATTAACAGCATCATCCTAAAATGAAAACAAACGGGTCATTTTGAAACTAATTGGAAACGAGTTTCAAATTGAGCCCAACATTTCTTATTCATCAACTTTGTACGATATACCTAAATTTGTATTCCAAATTAAAGGTTATATATTATATCTAGAGTATTCATTTGTTCGGTGACCTGTAACACAATTTTCTGCAGAATATTTTTTTATCCATTAATATAAACCCACGAAAACGAGTATAAAAGGGTCATGGTGTTGGATTGAAATATTAAATTACTAAAAAAAATGTCTCATTCACCAACTTTGTAGGATATACATAAATTGATAACGTCTATTGATCGATATGTAATATCTACAGATTTCATTTGTTCGGTGACCTATAGTGAAATTGGTTGTAGAATATTTTCTTCATTGACTTCATTCCACTCAAATGAAGTCAAACGGATTATATCAGTCTTTTTTTTGTCCAATTGGTCTGTATAGAGACCATAGGTCTTTATATTGACCAATTGATCTATATAGAGACCATAGGTCTCTATATTGACCAATTTGTCTGTATAGATACCATAGGTCTTTATATTGAAAAATTAGTCTGTATAGAGACCATAGGTCTTTATATTGACCAATTGGTCTGTATGGTGACCATAGGTCTTTATATTAACCAATTGGTTTGTATAGAGACCACAAGTCTTTATATTGACCAATTGGTCTGTATTGATACCACAGGTCTTTATATTAACCAATTGGTCTGTATAGAGACCATAGGCCTTTATATTAACCAATTGGTCTGTATAGAGACCATAGGCCTTTATATTGAAAAATTAGTCTGTATAGAGACCATAGGTCTTTATATTGACCAATTGGTCTGTATAGATACCATAGGTCTTTATATTGAAAAATTAGTCTGTATAGAGACCATAGGTCTTTATATTGACCAATTGGTCTGTATGGTGAACATAGGTCTTTATATTAACCAATTGGTTTGTATAGAGACCACAAGTCTTTATATTGACCAATTGGTCTGTATTGATACCACAAGTCTTTATATTGACCAATTGGTCTGTATGGAGACCAGGTCTTTATATTAACCAATTGGTCTGTATAGAGACCATAGGCCTTTATATTAACCAATTGGTCTGTATAGAGACCATATTGACCAATTGGTCTGTATATAGACCATAGGTCTTTATATTGTCTAATCTTCTATATAGAGAACAATTGGTCTTTATATAGACCAATTGATCAACATAGAGAACATAGGTCTTTATAAAGACCAATTGGTCTAAATGGGGACCACAGGACTTTATAGAGACAAATTGGTCTACATAGAGACCAAAGGACTTTATGGAGTCCAATTGGTCTAAATAGAGACCAAAGGTCTCTATGGAGACCAATTGGTCTACATAGAGACCACAGGTCTTTATATTAACCAAGTGGTCTGTATAGAGACCATAGGTCTTTATATTGACCAATTGGTCTGTATAGATACCATAGGTCTTTATATTGAAAAATTAGTCTGTATAGAGACCATAGATCTTTATATTGACCAATTGGTCTGTATGATGACCATAGGTCTTTATATTAACCAATTGGTTTGTATAGAGACCACAAGTCTTTATATTGACCAATTGGTCTGCACTGATACCACAGGTCTTTATATTAACCAATTGGTCTGTATAGAGACCATATTGACCAATTGGTCTGTATAGAGACCACAAGTCTTTATATTGACCAATTGGTCTGTATGGAGACCATAGGACTTTATATTAACCAATTGGTCTGTATAGAGACCATAGGCCTTTATATTAACCAATTGGTCTGTATAGATACCATTTTGACCAATTGGTCTGTATAGAGACCATAGGTCTTTATATTGACCAATTGGTCTGTATAGAGACCATAGGTTTTTATATTGACCAACAATTGGTCTGTATAGGTACCATAGATCTTTATATTAACCAAGTTGTCTGTATATAGACCATAGGTCTTTATATTGTCTAATCTTCTATATAGAGAACAATTGGTCTTTATATTGACCAATTGGTCTATATAGAGACCATAGGTCTTTATATTAACCAATTGGTCTATATAGAGACCATAGGTCTTTATATTGACCAATTGGTCTGTATAGAGACCATAGGCATTTAAATTGAATGTAGCTTTATTAAGGTCGAGCTAAAATTGTCAGAAATTTTTTCATTATAAAAAAAGTTCGAACATGATCCCACTTATTTTTTTTAAAAAAAAAGTCATATAAAAGTTTTTAAGGACATAACAACATTTAAAAATTTCCAGCGTGTCCACATCCAATATTATAGCAAATTTATTTAGGTTCTCAGAACTCCTTTTATATTGAAAAAGTTGAGGTTATGATGGAACATTTTGTTGAGCAATTTTACATAGAACTAAAAGGGCATTTTTTTTAATTGAAAACTGCATTCATATTTAAATTAGCTCTTCGTTTTTAGAAGCAATGGCACAGAATCCAAATTTTCATTATATGCAAAATTTTTATGTTTCACACTTCAATCATTTCTATTAATCATAAGTATTTTTTCCCGCACCATTCATTGTCATAATTAAAAATTAAAAGAAAAAATTGTATAAACTTTTAAATGTTATCAAGAGGTGGATATCCATATGGAACATCAGATACCACCCCACTACCATCAGCATAGTACTTTTGTGGTCTTGTATAAAAAATAACCCTAACAATACGAAGCAATGTCTTGCTAAAATTAAAACTATTTGTAAATTTCATCACAAGCCAGATGAAAAAATTATGTTTTTATGTATGAAAAATTATGTTTTATGTATGTATGTATGTGTGTGTGAAATAAAAATGTTTGATGTTTGAAATACATATTAATATTTTATTAACCATATAAAAATGGATATGGAAATAATGTAGATAATATATAAAATTTGTATGTGTATAGAAAATTAAAGATTATTTTTTTAACGCCTCTTTTTCTCTCTTTTCCTCCCCTCTTCATTTAGACACTGGGATGGCGGACCACCACGTTATCAAAACCCACCAATGGCACCACCAGCCTCCGAATATGAACGCCCACCACCATATTATTATCCGGGCGCCTCAGATCAGGACTAAGTGATCTATATTGAAATTCAGTTTTAAGCTGATGTATCTCCTCAAGAAACAACACAACATTAACGACACGATGATGAGTACCAAGAGATGGCAAATAGATGATGTGTGAAATGACACGAATGGAATGCAGCGTAACGAAATGGAGTGGAGTTGCTAAATTGAATGTTCAGATGAAGGGGAGGAGTGACGACGTACAATGATGAGAGAGTGATTATCACAATAGTAGCAACAAACGAATCAAAAAATCCAACTAATAGTTAAACATATTAAACATGCAGCAAGCAAGCAACAACAACAAGTCATCAAAATAAAACATGAAAAAAAAAATCAATCAGTCCTTTTAGCATATACATACATTATATATATATAGTATTACAAAAAATATTATTAAATAATTTTGTTAGCATATAAATATTATTTTTTTAATTTTTGTTTGTTAAACTTTGTTCACAAGTTTTTTTTTTATTTTTATGATTATTTTCAATTAAATCATAACACTGGGCTACAGCTGAAAATTTTCAAATGTTTGCAGGATGTTATACATCTTGTTTTGCAATATATACATACATATTGTGGTAATTTAAATTTCGCAGTTTTCAAAACATTGTAAAACAGTTGAGGTTATGGAATATCTCAAAAATCCATTTTAATAGTTTCCATTAAAAAAAATTAATTGTTTAATTAAAATCTATTCCTTAATGAATATCAGAAAGCTTCTTAAACTTCCCGAGGACTTCGAACCCCTTTCAAGTTATTTTTGAAATTTTCATTTGTAGCACCTTGTTATAAAAAAAAAATAGTCAGAAATTAGTAAGACCTATATATATACATACTACATATAATTCTCATACATATATATGCAAACATACGATAACTTACATACATACATATATTTCCATTTTTTGACTCAAATTATTTTTATGTGCGTAGATAAAACCAGAACAACAATGTGTGCAAGTGCAGTGCGTATGTATTGAATAAAATAGACGACAAAGAAAAGTAGATGGTGTAACAAATAAAACAACAACAGAAAAGAGAAGTGAATTTAAATAAAAAGAAGACAAATTTAAAAATAAAATGTTAGTGAAACAAAATTGAATTAATTCGAAAATTATACTTATCACTTGAAAAAAATACACACAAAAAACACACTACACACATAACTACAACTACACATATATAAATAATAATATAAGTTAGTGTTTGTTTATTGTGAAGAACAACAGCTTTAAAATTGAAATTTCAATTAAACAATTAAAAACAAAACATAAGAAACAACAACAAAAACAAAAACCACACAAAAAATCTCCATACACAGGGTGTCACAAAAATGTAGGTTTACAAGAAAAAAAATTATTTGTATTTTTACTAGTTAATTGAGCTAGGTAATGTTTTGAAAAATAAGTTAAATCAATTGGTTTTGGGGTTAAAAGAAAAATTTGTATATTATTTTTAAGAAAAAAATATATATTAACAATTTCCCAGAGAAATCTCATGCTTTTACAGGTCCTTATAAAGACGAATTGTTCGGTATAGAGACCATTGGTCGATATACAATCAAATTGGTCTGTGTAGAGACCATAGGCCTTTATAAAAACAAAATGTCTTACATAGAGACCACATGTCTTTAGGCATAGAGACCACAGGTCCTTATAAAAACTAATTGTTCGGTGTAGAGACCATTGGTATATATACAACCAAATTGGTCTGCATGAAGACCACAGGGGTTTATACGGACCAATTGGTCTGCATAGAGCTCATAGGTCTATATACAAATCAATTGGTCTGTGTAGAGATCAAAGGTCTTTATAAAAACAAAATGGTCTTCATAGAGACAATAGGTTCTTATAAAGACCAATTAGTCTGCATAGAGCTTCTGTGTATTTATATTGACCAATTGGTCTGTGTAGAGACCAAAGGCCTTTATAAAAACAAATAGTCTGCATAGAGTCAACAGGTCTTTATATAGACCAATTAGTCTGCATAGAGCTCCTGGGTATTTATATTGACCAATTGGTCTGTGTAGAGACCAAAGGTTTTTATAAAAATAAAATGGTCTTCATAGAGACAATAGGTCCTTATAAAGACCAATTGGTCTGTATAGAGCTCATAGATATTTATATTGACCAATTGATCTGTATAGACCGCAGGTCCTTTTAAGAGATTACAGTTTTTAATTTTATTTCAACTCCAAAACCAAATGAAAAAAGGACATTTTTTAATTTTCAATATTCTAAACACACTCATTGCTTAATTTATTTGTATTTATACACACTCCTTGTAATTTTCAATATTCTATATATATCTACATTTTTGTTGCAGTCTGTGTATATATGTATTACATAAATATTGATATATTTTTTAAGTAATAATCTACTACTTTTAGATAGAACCAAAATGTTTTCAATTATTTTTTTAACAAAAACATATTTTTATTAAACAAAGAAAAAACGTTAGAAATTCTCTTCAAATTTTTTGGGTTATTAACAAAGGAGAGATTTTCTTTATTATAATTATACAAAATATTATACTTTTTTGATTATTATTAAATATTAATAAATTATTATTACTATTATTGATCAGTGAGACTGTAAACAATTTTTTCTATAATTTAGAACATTTTTTCTTTTAAGAAAGAACAACAACAAAAAATTAAACATATACTAACAAAAAAAGAGAAAATTCCCCAAACAAATAAAATGTTTTCTTTTGTTAAGCAAAAGAAAAAAAGAAAACAAAACGATAATGATATAAAACAAATGCATTTAATTAAATATGAAATTGTTAAACAAATCAAACAAAAAGAAAAACAAAAAAAAACAAATCTTTAATTAATATATAAAAAAAAACAACAGAAAAAAAAACAATCTAATACCCAACTAACAATTTTTTAATTTAATCTCAAATCTAAACCCCAAAATCATATTGAAAATATATATTTAAAACAAATCCATTTTTTTCTGTTCACTTTTTTCCATTATTATTAAATTGTATATTAAAAATGATAATTATTATAATTATAAAAAAAAAACAAACAAAACAATTAATTAATAATTCGTATATATGTGTTTTTATGAATTTAGCCATAGTTGTATTTAATATTAGCTATATATATAACAAACAAAATACATAAATCATGTATATTTTTAAGACGTTCCAAAGGAATGGGCTGCAAATAATAATAATTATTAAACAAAAATCAACAAACAACAAAAACAATACTTGTAGTAATGCAAACATTTAAAACATACAACAACATAAAAATTAGTAAAGAAATTCTTTAAAAAAAAAACTCTATCTATTGTAAGTAAATGACAATTAAATGAACCACAAAACTCATAACTGTGTGTCAATCATTAAATAAAAAAATTTTAAATTTAAATTAAAATTAAAAAAAAAATAATAAAAAGAAAATATCAACAAAAAACTTTAAAACAATATAAAATGTTTTCTTTTTTATTAATAATTATGTAAACACATAAATGATGATGATGTTCTTTTTTTCGTAAAATGTTGATTATTTCTTATGTCTGGTCTTTTTGGTTATCTAAATGGATGCAGCATTCTTTAAGAAAACCTCATATGCATTAAAAAAACATTGATTTTTTAAAGAACATATTCTTTGAGCTTCCAGGGACTGTTTTTTTTTAAAATATGTTTTCAAGTTCCAACAAGGCTTGGATTTTTTTAAATATATATTTTCATTTTGACCGCTTTTCAATTTCAAGTACAAAAAGAACTGTGCATATAAGGACACTTTTTTTAAATTTGGTGACTTTTTGTACCACATAGAATTTCGTTTATTATAAAAAAGTCACCAAATTTTGAAAAAATGTGTTATTATATACACAGTTGTTTTTGTACTTGAAATTGAAAAGCGGTCAAAATGACCGCCTTCGGCAATCTAGTGTTAAGTTCAAACAAGACGTGGATTTTTAGGAAAATAAATTTATTTAAAAAAATATTTTTGGATGCTCCCAACAATAAAATAAAAAATATTTTTTTTTTTAACTTCCAACAAAATTAAACCATTTTTATTGCTTCAACAAAAATATATATAAATATTTTTTTCTAAGTTCCAACATGACGTGGATCTTTTAAAAAATATTTTTTAAGTTCCAACAAATCCTGGATCTTTGAAAAAATTGTTTTGAACTTCTAACAATGGGTTGGATTGTTTTAAAAATATTTGATTTCTCAAAGTTTTTTAAAAGATGTTTTTCAAGTTCCCTCCCTTAAAAATATTTTTATAATTAATCAAGATGCTGAGATTTATCAAAACAAAACTTTAAAAAATATTTCCTATGTGCCTATTATGATTGATTAGATTTTTTTAATATGTTTTCATGTTAAACACAGCAACTCCATAATGGTGAAATGTGGAATTTTTGAAAAATAGTTTTTAAACTTCCAACAAGGCCAATTTTTTTAAAAAATATATTTTCTAAAGTTTTACCAAAAAATATATTTTCTAAGGTTCCATTAAGGCTTGATTTTTTGGATTAAAAAAAATATTTTTTTACGTTCCTCCATCATCAATTACAACCTAGCAAACTTTTTGGTGTACAATTGTTATGAAGTGTGAAATCAGTTATGAATATCAAAATAATTAATAAATTATTACATTTTGGTATGTAATGTAAGGTAATAATCAATGTAATGATGAAAATCATAAGGAAATAAATTAAATTAAAACAAAAACATTTAAATTAAGATTGAACACAAATACGATTTCGTTTAACTTTGTTTGTCTTACAATTTTGAAATTTGAGCACCCTTTAAATTCATAAGGATAAATAAAAAAGAACAACCAAACCCCCTTAAAAACAAAAACTTAGTGATAAATGTAATGAGAAAACATGAAAAACAAAACAATTCCTCTTTTTATATAAATATAACACAAGGTAAATTAATGTGGTTGCCAAAGTTATATTATAATAAAAATATTATTATTTTAAATTAATGAAGAATAAACTCAAAAAATAATACAAGTTTTAAAAAAAAATAATAATAAAAAAATATAATATGAGATAACATGAAGAATAAATAATTTAATAATTTAACAAATTTTACTAGACGTAATAATGCATTTAAAAGGAATGGAAAAAAAGTATTTAAATTATTAACGAAGAATAAAAAAAGTCAGACGAAATAAAAAAATTAAAGATAAGTTTCAAGTTGTTGTCTTTTTTCCTGCCCAAAATAACACAAACTTTCCATGAAAAATAAAAAAAAAAATACATCAACCACAACATTGATATGTAACAAATTTAAATTTTTTGTAGTTATTTTTTTTTTAATTTAAATTTAAATATATACATTTTTTTCAAAAAAAAAAAAATATTTTTTTTATTTATAATACAATTCAAATTTGTTACATGACAATGTTTATGTTTTTTTCTCTATTGCAAAATTGTCAATAGTTTAAGAGAAAATTAAAAAAAATATATATCAAAACCGTAACTGTTAACAGCAAATGATCTTAAAAAAAGAAACACACACTGACACACACACCCCCTACATTCTGCCATTTAAGATAACAGTAATTAAAAAAAAAAGAAAAATGAAGAAACTTTAAATAAAATTACGACCATAAAAAAGAACAACAGCAACAACATGAAGAAACATGAAGTAAGTTTCAAAAACAAAATGGATATAGCAAAAAAAGAAAAACTAAAAAATAAATATACAACAACAAACATTTAAAAAATAAAACAATGTGAGTTTTATTTCAAAAAGTTGACAGGAAAGATATATTTCGTCAATCTATAAAAAGGGATGGTTAAAAAAAATTTTCAAGGTCCAACAAGGCATGGCATCTAACAGCCTGTTTTTGTAAAATTCTAAACGAACGAATTCGAGTGACTTACGACCAAACTCCTTGGTTTTGAAAAATATGTCATTTATTTTTGTTTTGAATCAAAAAAATATTTTTTATATAAACAAAGGTTTGGTCGTAAGTCACTCGAATTCGTTCGTTTAGAATTTTACAAAAACAGGCTGTAAGGCTTGAATTTAAACCAGTAAGAAAAGTAGTAAAGTCGGACAGGGCCGACTATATGATACCCTCCATCACTTTGGGTATATTCAACAGATGAATCCTAACAGACGTTGCATTTTTAAAGGACCAGTAAAATGAAATTGGATCCATAAACATGTCATTCCGCAGCCGATACTAAATTTTTCATTTGGTAAGATAAAGAAGCTATATCTAAATCGGAATCGATTTTCACGAAACTTAACACACATCATTCTAGACCGAATTCATTACGCTGTACCAAATTTCGTGCAAATCGAAAGTTAAATAGGGACTTTCGTGCACCATTTACATTAAATCGGACGAAAATATATATGGGAGCTATATCTAAATCTTCACCGATTTTCAGAAAACTTAACACACATCATCTAGACCGAATTCATTACGCTGTGCCAAATTTTCGTGCAAATCGAAAGATATATAGGGACTTTAGTGCACCAGTTACATAAAATCGGACGAAACTATATATGGGAGCTATATCTAAATGTGAACCGATTTCCACGAAACTCAGCACATATCATTCTAGACTTAATTGAGTACGATATACTAAATTTCGTGCAAATCGCAATATATATAGGGACTTTGGTGCAACATTTACATTAAATCGGACGAAAATATACATGGAAGCTATATCTAAATCTGAACCGATTTTCAGGAAACTTAGCACACATCATTCTGGACCTAATTCATTACGCTGTGCCAAATTTTGTGCAAATCGAAAGATATTAAGGGTCTTTGTTGCATCATTTACATTAAATCGGACAAAAATATATATGGGAGCTATATCTAAATCTGAGCCAATTTTTCCCAATTTCAATAGGGTTCGTCCTTGGGCCAAATGAGTGACATATGCCAAATTTCATCCAAATCGGATAATAAATGCGAGCTGTACTTTGTTCACAAAAATACATGGACGGACAGACGGACGGACATGCATAAATCGACTCAGAAAGTGATTCTATGTATATTTTCAAAAGGAACCATGTGTCTATCTCGTTTCCTTTTGTCTGTTACAAACATATACACAATGACATAATACCCTGTACCACAGTTTGGTAAAGGGTATACAAAAATCTCAAAATTTGCAGAAGCTTGAAGATGGGGAGTCTTTGAACTTGATTTAAGTTTGGATTAAATCGGTTACTCTCTTCGAGAGTTAATGTGCGCTCCAGTCACACCCACAGACGGACAGGCGTACCTTTGTAAATCGTCTCCAAATTGTTCGGAAACTAATTTAGTCCAAAGAAAAAGAAAGAAAGATGGGGTGTAAAATCAATATTTCTATGAAGCACTTTTTTATCCTAGCAAATCCTGATTAGCCATAAGACAAAGGATATAAACCCCTGGCCGATCAAGAACCTCAACAAAAGGGTTTTAAAAAAACCGCAAATTTTTCTGTCATGTATGTAAACAATCACGTATCAATTTAACACTCCAGCTACACACAAACTGTGTTCGGCCTAAAAGTATGCTACAACCCGTCAGCCACTTTGAAAGAACAAAAATTGCCCTTTTTAAAAACTGCATTTTTGTGTGGTTTTTCATTTTCAGCTAATAGGCGCCCAGCACCGAACAGTAGTTATATTTGGGAACATCGTTGAATTCAAATGCAAATAACTCAGCGACTACTTAACCGATTTTAAAAAATTTTGCATCAATGGTTAGAGGAAATTCTAAAGTTTTATTCCATATTGACAAAACATATATAACCATATGTTATATAAGAGAAAATCGGCATTATTTGAAAGTTCAAAGATATTTAAGATATCAACTAATTTTTTGGTTTACTGTAAATAAGACAGTCTACTCGATTCGGGCAGGCTGTGTTATAGCCCACACAAATAATAGATCACGTGAAAAGTCACTAAATCCGTTTCGGTCGTTTGGGGAAAACAAGTTTCGGCAAAACTGAAATAACTTTTGAACGAATTGTGATATTTGGAAAATTTAAACGGCTATGTGCAGGGTAAATAGTCCCCTATTTATATGCAATATTTTCAGGAAGTTGTGGATTTTTTAAAAAATATATTTTTTTTTATTTTCACCAACAACAAAGTGGATTTTTTAAAAAATATATATTATAATATATATTGGATCTTTTTTAAATTTCCAAACAAGGAAAGTTTCAAATTAAAAAAAAATGGCAAATTAAATCACAATTCCAACCATTTTTTATAAAAAAGTTTACATTAGAGATATTTCGTCAATCTATTAAAAGGGATGGTTAAAAAAAAATCTCAAGGTCCAAGAGGCACGGCTTCTAAAAAGAATATTTTTTTAACAAGGCTTGAATTTAAAAAACAAAAATCTCAAAATTTATAGAAGCTTTTAAAAAAGAAAATTCCAGTATTTTTTTAATAATTTTAATTATTTATTTATATATATATATATATTTATTTATATATAACACTATAATACAGTTGTTCGAATAGAAAAAAAAATATATATAAAAAATAATAGTATTTTTTAAATTATATTTTTAACAAAATTTTGTGTGCACAAGAGAAATTGGAAAAAAATAGAAGGAAACTAAAGAAATGATATAGACGATAAACAATTGGAGCAAAATTACAAAACTTTTGTGTTGTTTTTGTTTTTAAACAAATAAAATTACAGAGAGAGGGAAATTATCACAGTTTTATGTACAAAAAGAATGGTTTCAATAATTGTTTAAGAAAATTAATAATTATAAAATATTTTCAAACGAGAGAGAGAGAGAGAGTGCCAGTGAGAGTAAGATAGAGATAGAGTATTAACATTATTATAACTTCGTTGTGGTAATTAATTCTTAAACAAAAAAATGTTTCTTACTATGGGTTTCGTTTTTCGTTTTGTTTGTTTGTAATTTAAGGCCTTAAGAATAATTTGAAACAAAATTAATAATAATAATAATTAATATTATTATTGTTAAATTTCTATATATATACGTATGTATGTATATAAAAAACGAAAAAAAAAACAAGGCAAGTGTGGTTTTGTTTAATGTTACATATTTTAACAAAAAATAAAAGAAAATATTGTTTTCTTTTGCAAAAGAAAAAGTGATTTAGAGGGAGAAGTTATATTGCAATTGATAATTAATTAAACTAAATTTTTATATAAAAAATTAACAAAACGGGATAAAACAAATGCCATCAAATTGCATTGTTTTTTAATGTAGTTTTTTTTTACAAAATAAAAACAGAAAATTAAAAAAAAAAAAATAAAAAATAACTACATGCTAGGCATTACTACATAATAGGTTGATTGGTGTATTAGGGGGAGGGGGCTTAATTTTTGTTGTGGTTTAGAGTACAGTATTTGTAGGTATGCTATTATGTATAGAACTAAATTTTATAGTACATATGTACAGACATATGTTAGGGGCTCACATCACGTTCAACCATCTTACAAAAACAATTTAGAGTGAGAGCAAAATAAATTACAATTAAATTGCAGTTTCGTCAGAAAAACATGGTGGTTAGAATAAGGGCCAGTATGGAGAATGTGTATGGAAATCAAATGGGCATCATCTAAGAAGGTCCTTCGGACTTCTATAAGAAGTTTGAACATCTTCCCATGGAGTATTAAATGATGATTTCCATGATTTCCTACAGTAGACCAATGTTTTGTTTACTTGTCCAATTTTGGTAGGAATCAAATTTTATATTTCCATATTTGATTTCCAAAAGAAAGTATTTTCCAAAAAAATAAAAAAAAATTAAAGGCAGTGTTGGAGCAAAAAATAGTCTCCCCACTTGGCCCTTATTCTAGAAATTTGAACTGTGCATATGTGAAAATGTGCATTTGTATGTAGGTAGGCATGTGTGTGTGCGTGCTTGTTATGTATATATGTGTGTGTGTTAGCCGTAGTTTACACAATTTTTGTAAAAAATCTCTCGCTCTCTACTACTTCATCCCACACCAAAATTTAAGCTGGCGCATCTGTTGGCACATGGCAACCCTCAACATTTTCCGGCCAATCGCATACATTCTCCTGTGGATTAAAGACCAAGTTGGCAGGACATGGCATATGATGTTTACGTTCACCCTCGCACATATAATAATGGGTGCAATCATTCCAATCTTTGTGATAGCTAATGTGACCATCTTCCTCGGCACAGGTTACTTCGTGGGCTGGAAAGGGGGTAAAACCAAATATATTTAGTTTTGATCTCTTTGTTTTAATTTCCAATGTTACTACTTACGATCTTTCGTGGTGTATGCTCCCCGGGGACCTCGCGATTCATAGGGACCCTCATATTCCAAATTGACCTTATAACCCTTGAGTTCATCATTTAATGCTGTCAGCAGAGGATATTTGCCATTTCCACAACGTCCAGTGAAATCATCCATATCGATGGACCACACCATAATACCACCAAAGCCTTGCTCTTTCAACCATTCCATCTGTTCAAAAAAGGGGGGTGGAAAAAAGAAAAACAATATTATTTAATTGAAAAACGTAAAAGGGTCTTCAGAATAAGCTAAAAATATTTTAATTTTTCAATACTAAACAATATGTGAATTAAAAAAAACTTTCTTTTCATGGCTAAGTAAAACGTGAATATAAAATTGCTCTTAGCCTCCATATTGAAAATCGTTTTTGTTCTATCTTCTCCAAAACTCACCTTTGTTTTCAACGAACGTTCATCATCGAAACCAACCCATTGATCGTCACGATAAGCGAATGGCACCTGCTGCTCCGAATCCCATACCAAGGTGGTATTATCTGCTGCCAAGAATGTGCACACTTCATAGTAACTCAAGAAACCGGATTCATTGGTGAATTTGCCAGAACGACCACCACCCAAGGCGGGTGCTCCAATATCAAATTGTGTCACATTGGCCAATTCAAATGTTCTGCCATAGGTGGGCATACCGATTAAAAGTTTCTCCTTGGGAGCACCTTGTTTAACCCATTCGCGGGCACTATAATCAACTGTCAATTTCTTTTGATAACCTGTGGCCGATTCCAAGGGGAAGAGAGGTGAGTTGTGGCCCACAGTACGTTCCCATTGACCATGGAAATCATAGGTCATGACATTAATAAAATCAAGATATTTCGATATTTCAGGGACATCATAACCTGCTGCAATGGCTTCAAAGGAGGCTGGCACAGCAGCTGTTAGCAAGAGTCGGGGCAATCCAGACGATTTAGCTTCACCCTCAAAGGCCACACGCAATTCACGCAGAAGATTTACATAGGCAGCTCGATCATCAGAACCTCGAGGATATTCCCAATCCACATCGAGACCATTAAATTTATAATCACGCAGGAAATCAATGGCTTCATAGACAAATTGATTCATACGGAACACATTGGAGGTGAGATCTTTGAAGGGTGTTGAACCAAATGCCCAGCCACCAATGGCCAAAAGGATTTGTAAATCGGGATTGTTGTCACGCAACGCAATAATTTCTTCATAGTTATCGGGATCTTCGTCACTGTTCTCGGCCAATTTGTGATCCTTGAGTGTGGCAAAGGCATAGACAATGTGGGTGCAAAGTTTGGGGTCAATATTGGCGGGTAAGAATTTACCGGCACCGGGACGTTTAGAAGACCAGCTAGTAAGATAACAGAAAACTTGGGCGGGACGGGCTGTAATACAGAACAAAGAATTTGGTAAAGTAAAAAGATTTGTATTGAAGTTTTTAGTTCCTGAGACTTACTGTTCTTTTCCACTGCCAAAGCACCAGACTTGACACGATGTTTCTTTGTGGGTTTGCGTACCTTGGCCAAGATTTCTTCAACATCAATTTTAATGGGTTCGGGTTTCTCAACCTAAATAGATAAAGTAGATAATTAGTTTCTCGATTTAAAAGGAGTTACCAGATTTAAGTTCCTTACCTCTTCCAAATCCTCAAAGGTAGCAGCCACTTCAGACCAATTAACATCCTTGGCATCTTTACCTCTTGAAATGCCCAACAGCTCTTCACGCATGGCTCCAATTAGTGGATATTTTACCTGTCCTCCACACACATCACCCTTGAAATCATCCATATCGACAGTCCATACCATGGCACCACCATAACCATTATCCTTAATCCATTTCATTTTGTTGCGAATGGAACGTTCATCATCAAAGCCAACCCATTGATCACCATCCACCAAATAGGGCACCTTCATTTCATCATCCCACACATAGACGGCACCATTCAACAGCATTTCACAGATTTCATAATAGGCGAGGAAACCACTTTCTTTGGTGTAGATACCTTCCTTGCCACCACCGGTGGCTGGGGCATTGGGACCATGTTTAGCGGTCGAAGCCAAAGTAAAGGAACGACCATATGTGGGCATACCAATAACTAATTTCTCTTTGGGGGCACCCATTTTGGCCCACATTGTGGCAGCATTGTCAACGGACAATTGTTTACGCCATTCCGAGTCGGATGAGGGAGCATACAGTGGAGCGTTGTGACCGGTTTCACGTTCCCATTTACCATGGAAATCGTAGGCCATAACGTTAATGAAATCCAAATAACTGGCAACAGCGGGTACATCATAACCACCACGGATATTATCGGGTCCCACAGGCACGGCAGCTGTCAACAACAAACGTTGCCTCTTCAATTCTTGGGCCTCAGCCTCGAAAGCTTCACGCAATTCCTTCAACAACAAAACAAAGTTTTTCTTATCATCCGAACCCTTGGGATATTCCCAATCCAAATCCAGACCATCAAAACCACGTTTACGCAAGAATGGTATGGCGGAATAGATAAAGGTTTGGCGGGTATAGCGGGTGGCAGACATATCCTTGAATTTCTGGGTGCCAAATGACCAACCACCCAAAGCCAAAAGGATCTGAAAGAAGAAATGAAATATTACAAAATTGAAAATGTCATTCAAAAACTGTTTTGAAACCCACCTTCAACTTAGGATTGACCTTCTTCAGGGTCATAATACGATCATAGAGTCCAGGCACTGTATCCTTTGTCTCATCATTCGATTCATAGGAACTCAATTTGTTTTTCTTCAACCAACCGAAGGCGAAAATGATGTGCGTGCACAAATCCGCTGGAATATCTTCGGGTACGAATTTACCAATTTTGGGACGGTATTGTGACCAATTGGTGTAGTAACAAACGACCTTCTTGCCGACATCTTCAGCTTTGGCTTTTTTACCCTTCAACGAAGAACCACTTGCCACCAGGCTGGTAGAATCGGCATCGGCTCCGCGTAACTTGGATTTACCACGTAGGCGAGTGCGCACCGAGGTGGACGGTGAGGGTTCCTGATCTACACGTTTTTGGGCAATTTCTTTATCGGCATTTTCAAGGGTTTTCTTGGCTGAGACACGAGTTCTCCGGGTTGATACCTCAACGGTTTCGACGGCGTCTTCGGTTTCGGGAGCACTGGTTGGTCGGCGCAATCTTCGTCGTGTTTTGGCTGGAAATTAAAAACAAGGAAAAGAAGAAATGTTGAAAATAATAAAGAATAAAGAAGAAGGATGTAAAATTGCGAAGCAAAAAATTGGAACCCGTCTTCAAAAGCCCGTTTAAATCCTCTCTTCCTTTTCAAAAAAATGTTCAATTAAACTATTCACTGGGTGGAATAAAATGAACTACAAGCTAAATTTATATCCGATCATAACCGAACATAAAAAGATATTTTCTAGGGGGGGAAATAACTAATTTTGAAAGGACTATAGGGTGTTGGAGTTTACCAATGCTGCTGCTGCAATATCAAAGTGTGTGCCAATTCAAATGTTCTGCCACAAGTGGGCAAGCATAATTTTTGAAATTTGTTTGGAAGAACCTTCTTCTTCGTGCCGGATTCCCAGTGACCAGGAGGCTGACACATCAGCTGTTTTTGGACTACTAGAACGGTACGAAAAGTACTAAATGTGATACCATTTGTATTTGGCTAACCGGTAGAGCTAGAACTATGAAATTTGGATTGGTGGTCGCTGATGGAGTTTAGGATAGATGTACCAAAGGGTTTTTGGAAATTCGAACTATAGCTATCCAAAAAGTACTAAATAAGGATATGGTACTATATAAGGATATGGTTTTTAAAGTGTGTTCTCATGAGTACGAAAAGTACTATATCGTACTATATTTGGTACAGATTTAATTTGGAGATACAAATCGAGTTGGAATCCCGAAATTTGAAATTAACATTACCGTAGGAGTGTAGGATTGGGATATGAACGTAGTTTTGGAAATTTGTTACTTATGTGTTCGAAAAGTACTAAATCGTACTATAATCGGTACAGTTGGATTTGGGTGAACCGATAGAGCGGGAACAATGAAATTTGGAGTCAGGATCACTGTAAGGGTGTGGGATTGGGGTCAGGATTCAGTTTACAATGGTACAATTTGAATTGTGAGTGAACCGATAAAGTTGGAATCCTGAAACTTGGATTTGGGATCACTCTGGAGGTGTAGAATTGGGGTATGTAGGAAGTTGGTACAATTTGAATTGTTGGTGAACCGATAGAGTTGGAATCCTGAAAATTGGATTTAGGATCACTGTGGGGGTGTTGAATTGGGGTATGTAGGAAGTTTTGGAAATTGGTACTACTGTGTACTAAATTTGGTACAATTTGAAATGTGGGTGAACCGATAGAGTTGGAATACTGAAATTTTGATTTAGGATCAGTGTGGGGGTGTAGGATTGGGGAATGTAGGAAGTTTTGGAAAATTGTACTACTGTGTACTAAATTTGGTACAATTTGAATTGTGGGTGAACCGATAGAGTTGGAATACTGAAATTTTGATTTAGGATCAGTGTGAGGGTGTAGGATTGGGGAATGTAGGAAGTTTTGGAAAATTGTACTACTGTGTACTAAATTTCGTACAATTTGAAATGTGGGTGAACCGATAGAGTTGGAATACTGAAATTTTTATTTAGGATCACTGTGGAGGAGTAGGATTGGGGTATGTAGAAAGTTTTGGAAATTGGTACTACTGTGTACTAAATTTGGTACAATTTGAAATGTGGGTGAAACGATAGAGTTGGAATCCTGGAATTTTGATTTAGGATCACTGTGGAGGTGTAGAATTTGGTTATGTACTACTGTGTACCAAATCTTATACAATTTGAATTGTGGGTGAAGCGATAGAGGTTGCATCCTGAAACATGGATTAAAGATCACTGTGGGGTGATGGTTTGTATAAAGAAGGAAGTTTCAAAAATTCGTACTACTGTGTACTATATATGGTACAATTTGAATTGTGGGTGAACCAATAGAGTTGAAATCATGAAATTTGAATTTGGAATCATTGTGGGGGTGAAGGCTTGGATTTAATAGGATGTTTTGGAAATTCGTACTACTGTGTACTATATTTAGTACAATTTGAATTGTGGGTGAACCAATAGAGTTGAAATCCTGAAATTTGAATTTGGAATTGTTATTAAAAAAAAAAAAAATATTTTCAAATAGGTTATTAAGACCTAAATTTTTTATGTTTTCATAAAGGTTATTAAAACTTGGATTTTATTTAAAAATTCTTTTTTGTGTAAACAGCTCCTTGATGATTAAAAAATTCTCTTTATTTCTTGACATAAATTTTCCAAACCAGTTTTTGTTTTCTTGTTGAAATTCTGTCAATATGTATTTGTTTCCTAAAAAGTGTTGGAAAAATAATGTGGGCTTAAAACAAGTTGGCATATACTGCTTAGGTATAATGCCATGCATACTCCAACCGGATATTTTTTTTTGGTTTGGTAGAACAACATTTACTGCTTGTGTCTAGCTGGCTGCTTGGCCAAATGCGGAAATCAAGTTATGGCTAATGCGGCTGTGTAAGAACTTTCACTTTTGTCCAACTTACCTTGTGCACTATCTGTGGCTTGGGAGAGAAGTACAATTATGAGGCAGACTGCAAATAACAATCTAAATATTCGAGGAGGAAACTGTAAAGAAAAAAAAAACAAAACGAAACAGGAAAATTTATAATTAGAAATCAAAGGTCATAAAAACTAGAATAGGAGTTACAAAAAAGAAAAAAAAAATAGATAAATAAAAAAGACCCTTTAAAAAATGCAAATAAGATTTATGAGTTTTTTTAATATTTTTTCTGGTTTTTAGAAAAATTACAGCTGTCATGCTACAAAAAAATTACAAAATAGCGGTGGTAACAAAATTTTAAATTTAAATTGCTACCAAAAAAATTAACGTGACCTTAAATACCTTTTTTTGAAAAACCCAACAAAAAATTACTCTGGTTTGTGTAAAAATCGCACACTAATTAGAAACTTTACAACATGGCCCTAAGGCCCCCCTTTTTACCAATAAAAAAAAAAACATTTGTTTTTATTCTGGTTCGGAGGTCAACAAAATCTCTTGTAAATCATAACACTGGCCACAAGAAGAAGAAGAAAAAATATGACCAGTCATTTATAATCGGTTGGAGTGAATCCACTTGTTATTTTGCCACTTATGTCTGTTTCGATGATAGCCAGCACCACCACCACCACGATAGCCATGTTGGCTGGTTTATGGAATTTCATGGCATTGACCCAGTTCACGACCAAGTCGGCTCTATACAGAGAAACATTTTTATTTTCAACAATAACATTTAATAATAATCAAGCACTAAACAAATAGCTACTCATGAAATTATTCATGTTAAGCTTTTTGTTTATACAAAAAAACGTCATGACTTGAAGAGCACTAATTAAATATTAATTTCAAAGAGGTCATTAAACAAATTTATATATTCATAACATAGGGTGATAATAATAATAATAACAAATCGTTTGGCATTATGATTAAAAGTTCAAAATCTTTATGAAAATTATTATTATTAATAATTTTTTTTAAATATTTTTTTAATATTTTCTGATTAATATTTTCTGATTTATGAAAGTTGTATTTATACCCTTCACCACACTGTTGTACAAGGTATTATGTCTTTGTGCATATGTTTGTAACAGGTAAAAATAATCGAGATAGACACATGGTTCCTTTCGAGAATATGCATAGAATCACTTTCTGAGTCGATTTACGCATGTCCGTCTGTCTATGTTAAATTATAAACAAAATACAGGTCGCATTTATGATCCGATTTGGATGAAATTTGGCATAGGTCATTTATTTGGCTCAAGGACGAATCCTATTGAAATTGGGAAACATCGGTTCAGATTCAGATATAGCTCCCATATATATTTTCGTCCGATTTAATGTAAATGGTGCACCAAAGTCCCTATATATCTTTCGATTTGCATTAAATTTGGCACATTTAGAATAATGTGTGTAAAATTTCGTGAAAATCGGTTCAGATTTAGATATAGCTCTCATATATATTTTCATCCGATTTAATGTAAATGGTACACCAAAGTCCCTATATATCTTTCGATTTGCACGAAATTTGGCACAGCGTAATGAATTAGGTCTAGAATGTGGTGTGTTAAGTTTCCTGAAAATCGGTTGAGATTTCGATATAGCTCCCATATATATTTCCGTCCGATTTAAGGTAAATGGTGTACCAAAGTACCTAGATGCCCTTCGATTTGCACGAAATTTGGCACAGCGTAATGAATTAGGTCTAGAATGCGGTGTGCTAAGTTTCCTGAAAATCGGTTGAGATTTCGATATAGCTCCCATATATATTTTCGTCCGATTTAAGGTAAATGGTGTACCAAAGTACCTGGATATCCTTCGATTTGCACGAAATTTGGCACAGCGTAATGAATTAGGTCTAGAATGCGGTGTGTTAAGTTTCCTGAAAATCGGTTGAGATTTCGATATAGCTCCCATATATATTTTCGTCCGATTTAAGGTAAATGGTGTACCAAAGTACCTAGATGTCCTTCGATTTGCACGAAATTTGGCACAGCGTAATGAATTAGGTCTAGAATGCGGTGTGTTAAGTTTCCTGAAAATCGCTTCAGATTTAGATATAGCTTCCATATATATTTTCGTCCGATTTAAGGTAAATGGTGTACCAAAGTACCTGGATATCCTTCGATTTGCACGAAATTTGGCACAGCGTAATGAATTTGGTCTAGAATGATGTGTGTTAAGTTTCGTGAAAATCGGTTCAGATTTAGATATAGCTTCTATATCTGAGCAAATGAAAAATTTAGTATCGGTTGCAGAATGACATGTTTATGGATCAAATTTCATTTTACTGGTCCTTTAAAAAATGCGACGTCTGTTAGGATTCATCTGTTGAATATACCCAAAAAGTGGTGAAGGGTGTTATAAGGCCGGCCCCGTCCGACTTTACTACTTTCCTTACTGGTTTTTAAGGGGACCCCCCGTTCTCGGGGTCAAATTTTTTTTGTTTGATTTAATTTGAATCTACACTAATTCAAAAATGTCCCTA